GACGCATGCTTGTGTCCGGACGCATGCTTGTGTCCGGACGCATGCTTGTGTCCGGACGCATGCTTGTGTCCGGTCGCATGCTTGTGTCCGACCGCATGCTTGAGTCCGGTCGCATGGTTGTGTCCGGACGCATGCTTGTGTCCGAACGCATGCTTGTGTACGGACGCATGCTTGTGTCCCGACGCATGCTTGTGTCCGGACGCATGCTTGTGTCCGGACGCATGCTTGTGTCCGGACGCATGCTTGTGTCCGACGCATGCTTGTGTCCGGACGCATGCTTGTGTCCGGACGCATGCTTGTGCCCGGTCGCATGCTTGTGTCCGGACGCATGCTTGTGTCCGGTCGCATGCTTGTGTCCGGACGCATGCTTGTGTCCGGACGCATGCTTGTGTCCGGACGCATGCTTGTGTCCGGACGCATGCTTGTGTCCGGACGCATGCTTGTGTCCGGACGCATGCTTGTGTCCGGACGCATGTTTGTGCCCGGTCGCATGCTTGTGTCCGGGCGCATGCTTGTGTCCGGTCGCATGCTTGTGTCCGGACGCATGCTTGTGTCCGGACGCATGCTTGTGTCCGGACGCATGCTTGTGTCCGGACGCATGCTTGTGTCCGGACGCATGCTTGTGTCCGGACGCATGCTTGTGTCCGGACGCATGCTTGTGTCCGGTCGCATGCTTGTGTCCGGACGCATGCTTGAGTCCGGTCGCATGCTTGTGTCCGGACGCATGCTTGTGTCCGGACGCATGCTTGTGTCCGGACGCATGCTTGTGCCCGGTCGCATGCTTGTGTCCGGACGCATGCTTGTGTCCGGACGCGTGCTTGTGTCCGGACGCATGCTTGTGTCCGGTCGCATGCTTGTGTCCGGACGCATGCTTGTGTCCGGACGCATGCTTGTGTCCGGACGCATGCTTGTGTCCGGACGCATGCTTGTGTCCGGTCGCATGCTTGTGTCCGACCGCATGCTTGAGTCCGGTCGCATGGTTGTGTCCGGACGCATGCTTGTGTCCGAACGCATGCTTGTGTACGGACGCATGCTTGTGTCCCGACGCATGCTTGTGTCCGGACGCATGCTTGTGTCCGGACGCATGCTTGTGTCCGGACGCATGCTTGTGTCCGACGCATGCTTGTGTCCGGACGCATGCTTGTGTCCGGACGCATGCTTGTGCCCGGTCGCATGCTTGTGTCCGGACGCATGCTTGTGTCCGGTCGCATGCTTGTGTCCGGACGCATGCTTGTGTCCGGACGCATGCTTGTGTCCGGACGCATGCTTGTGTCCGGAAGCATGCTTGTGTCCGGACGCATGCTTGTGTCCGGACGCATGCTTGTGTCCGGACGCATGCTTGTGTCCAGTCGCATGCTTGTGTCCGGACGCATGCTTGTGTCCGGACGCATGCTTGTGTCCGGACGCATGCTTGTGTCCGGACGCATGCTTGTGTCCGGACGCATGCTTGTGTCCGGACGCATGCTTGTGTCCGGACGCATGCTTGTGTCCGGTCCCATGCTTGTGTCCGGACGCATGCTTGAGTCCGGTCGCATGCTTGTGTCCGGACGCATGCTTGTGTCCGGACGCATGCTTGTGTCCGGACGCATGCTTGTGTCCGGACGCATGCTTGTGTCCAGACGCATGCTTGTGTCCGGACGCATGCTTGTGTCCGGACGCATGCTTGTGTCCAGACGCATGCTTGTGCCCGGTCACATGCTTGTGTCCGGGCGCATGCTTGTGTCCGGTCGCATGCTTGTGTCCGGACGCATGCTTGTGTCCGGACGCATGCTTGTGTCCGGACGCATGCTTGTGTCCGGACGCATGCTTGTGTCCGGACGCATGCTTGTGTCCGGACGCATGCTTGTGTCCGGACGCATGCTTGTGTCCGGTCACATGCTTGTGTCCGGGCGCATGCTTGTGTCCGGTCGCATGCTTGTGTCCGGACGCATGCTTGTGTCCGGACGCATGCTTGTGTCCGGTCCCATGCTTGTGTCCGGACGCATGCTTGAGTCCGGTCGCATGCTTGTGTCCGGACGCATGCTTGTGTCCGGACGCATGCTTGTGTCCGGACGCATGCTTGTGTCCGGACGCATGCTTGTGTCCAGACGCATGCTTGTGTCCGGACGCATGCTTGTGTCCGCACGCATGCTTGTGTCCAGACGCATGCTTGTGCCCGGTCACATGCTTGTGTCCGGGCGCATGCTTGTGTCCGGTCGCATGCTTGTGTCCGGACGCATGCTTGTGTCCGGGCGCATGCTTGTGTCCGGACGCATGCTTGTGTCCGGACGCATGCTTGTGTCCGGACGCATGCTTGTGTCCGGACGCATGCTTGTGTCCGGACGCATGCTTGTGTCCGGTCACATGCTTGTGTCCGGGCGCATGCTTGTGTCCGGTCGCATGCTTGTGTCCGGACGCATGCTTGTGTCCGGACGCATGCTTGTGTCCGGACGCATGCTTGTGTCCGGACGCATGCTTGTGTCCGGACGCATGCTTGTGTCCGGACGCATGCTTGTGTCCGGTCCCATGCTTGTGTCCGGACGCATGCTTGAGTCCGGTCGCATGCTTGTGTCCGGACGCATGCTTGTGTCCGGACGCATGCTTGGGTCCGGACGCATGCTTGTGTCCGGACGCATGCTTGCGTCCGGACGCATGCTTGTGTCCGGACGCATGCTTGTGTCCGGACGCATGCTTGTGTCCGGACGCATGCTTGTGTCCGGACGCATGCTTGTGTCCGGACGCATGCTTGTGCCCGGTCGCACGCTTGTGTCCGGACGCATGCTTGTGTCCGGACGCGTGCTTGTGCTTGGACGCATGCTTGTGTCCGGTCGCATGCTTGTGTCCGGACGCATGCTTGTGTCCGGACGCATGCTTGTGTCCGGACGCATGCTTGTGTCCGGTCGCATGCTTGTGTCCGACCGCATGCTTGAGTCCGGTCGCATGGTTGTGTCCGGACGCATGCTTGTGTCCGAACGCATGCTTGTGTACGGACGCATGCTTGTGTCCCGACGCATGCTTGTGTCCGGACGCATGCTTGTGTCCGGACGCATGCTTGTGTCCGACGCATGCTTGTGTCCGGACGCATGCTTGTGTCCGGACGCATGCTTGTGTCCCGACGCATGCTTGTGTCCGGACGCATGCTTGTGTCCGGACGCATGCTTGTGTCCGGACGCATGCTTGTGTCCGACGCATGCTTGTGTCCGGACGCATGCTTGTGTCCGGACGCATGCTTGTGCCCGGTCGCATGCTTGTGTCCGGACGCATGCTTGTGTCCGGTCGCATGCTTGTGTCCGGACGCATGCTTGTGTCCGGACGCATGCTTGTGTCCGGACGCATGCTTGTGTCCGGACGCATGCTTGTGTCTGGACGCATGCTTGTGTCCGGACGCATGCTTGAGTCCGGTCGCATGGTTGTGTCCGGACGCATGCTTGTGTCCGAATGCATGCTTGTGTACGGACGCATGCTTGTGTCCCGACGCATGCTTGTGTCCGGACGCATGCTTGTGTCCGGACGCATGCTTGTGTCCGGACGCATGCTTGTGTCCGACGCATGCTTGTGTCCCGACGCATGCTTGTGTCCGGACGCATGCTTGTGTCCGGACGCATGCTTGTGTCCGGACGCATGCTTGTGTCCGACGCATGCTTGTGTCCGGACGCATGCTTGTGTCCGGACGCATGCTTGTGCCCGGTCGCATGCTTGTGTCCGGACGCATGCTTGTGTCCGGTCGCATGCTTGTGTCCGGACGCATGCTTGTGTCCGGACGCATGCTTGTGTCCCGACGCATGCTTGTGTCCGGACGCATGCTTGTGTCCGGACGCATGCTTGTGTCCGGACGCATGCTTGTGTGCGGACGCATGCTTGTGTCCGGACGCATGCTTGTGTCCGGACGCATGCTTGTGCCCGGTCGCATGCTTGTGTCCGGACGCGTGCTTGTGTCCGGACGCATGCTTGTGTCCGACCGCATGCTTGTGTCCGGACGCATGCTTGTGTCCGGACGCATGCTTGTGTCCGGACGCATGCTTGTGTCCGGACGCATGCTTGTGTCCGGACGCATGCTTGTGTCCGGACGCATGCTTGTGTCCGGACGCATGCTTGTGTCCGGACGCATGCTTGTGCCCGGTCGCATGCTTGTGTCGGGACGCATGCTTGTGTCCGGACGCGTGCTTGTGTCCGGACGCATGCTTGTGTCCGGTCGCATGCTTGTGTCCGGACGCATGCTTGTGTCCGGACGCATGCTTGTGTCCGGACGCATGCTTGTGTCCGGACGCATGCTTGTGTCCGGTCGCAAACTTGTGTCCGGACGCATGCTTGAGCCCGGTCGCATGCTTGTGTCCGGACGCATGCTTGTGTCCGGTCGCATGCTTGTGTCTGGACGCATGCTTGTGTCCGGACGCATGCTTGTGTCCGGACGCATGCTTGTGTCCGGACGCATGCTTGTGTCCGGACGCATGCTTGTGTCCGGACGCATGCTTGTGTCCGGACGCATGCTTGTGTCCGGACGCATGCTTGTGTCCGGTCCCATGCTTGTGTCCGGACGCATGCTTGAGTCCGGTCGCATGCTTGTGTCCGGACGCATGCTTGTGTCCGGACGCATGCTTGTGCCCGGACGCATGCTTGTGTCCCGACGCATGCTTGTGTCCGGACGCATGCTTGTGTCCGGACGCATGCTTGTGTCCGGACGCATGCTTGTGTCCGACGCATGCTTGTGCCCGGTCGCATGCTTGTGTCCGGACGCATGCTTGTGTCCAGACGCATGCTTGTGTCCGGACGCATGCTTGTGTCCGGACGCATGCTTGTGTCCGGACGCATGCTTGTGTCCAGTCGCATGCTTGTGTCCGGACGCATGCTTGTGTCCGGACGCATGCTTGTGTCCGGACGCATGCTTGTGTCCGGACGCATGCTTGTGTCCGGACGCATGCTTGTGTCCGGACGCATGCTTGTGTCCGGACGCATGCTTGTGTCCGGTCTCATGCTTGTGTCCGGACGCATGCTTGTGTCCGGACGCATGCTTGTGTCCGGTCTCATGCTTGTGTCTGGACGCATGCTTGTGTCCGGACGCATGCTTGTGTCCGGACGCATGCTTGTGTCCGGACGCATGCTTGTGTCCGGACGCATGCTTGTGTCCGGACGCATGCTTGTGTCCGGACGCATGCTTGTGTCCGGACGCATGCTTGTGTCCGGTCCCATGCTTGTGTCCGGACGCATGCTTGAGTCCGGACGCATGCTTGTGTCCGGACGCATGCTTGAGTCCGGTCGCATGCTTGTGTCCGGACGCATGCTTGTGTCCCGACGCATGCTTGTGTCCGGACGCATGCTTGTGTCCGGACGCATGCTTGTGTCCGGACGCATGCTTGTGTCCGACGCATGCTTGTGTCCGGACGCATGCTTGTGTCCGGACGCATGCTTGTGCCCGGTCGCATGCTTGTGTCCGGACGCATGCTTGTGTCCGGACGCATGCTTGTGTCCGGACGCATGCTTGTGCCCGGTCGCATGCTTGTGTCCGGACGCATGCTTTTGTCCGGAAGCATGCTTGTGTCCGGACGCATGCTTGTGTCCGGACGCATGCTTGTGTCCGGACGCATGCTTGTGTCCAGTCGCATGCTTGTGTCCGGACGCATGCTTGTGTCCGGACGCATGCTTGTGTCCGGACGCATGCTTGTGTCCGGACGCATGCTTGTGTCCGGACGCATGCTTGTGTCCGGACGCATGCTTGTGTCCGGACGCATGCTTGTGTCCGGACGCATGCTTGTGTCCGGTCCCATGCTTGTGTCCGGACGCATGCTTGAGTCCGGTCGCATGCTTGTGTCCGGACGCATGCTTGTGTCCGGACGCATGCTTGTGTCCGGACGCATGCTTGTGTCCGGACGCATGCTTGTGTCCAGACGCATGCTTGTGTCCGGACGCATGCTTGTGTCCGGACGCATGCTTGTGTCCAGACGCATGCTTGTGCCCGGTCACATGCTTGTGTCCGGGCGCATGCTTGTGTCCGGTCGCATGCTTGTGTCCGGACGCATGCTTGTGTCCGGACGCATGCTTGTGTCCGGACGCATGCTTGTGTCCGGACGCATGCTTGTGTCCGGACGCATGCTTGTGTCCGGACGCATGCTTGTGTCCGGACGCATGCTTGTGTCCGGGCGCATGCTTGTGTCCGGTCGCATGCTTGTGTCCGGACGCATGCTTGTGTCCGGACGCATGCTTGTGTCCGGACGCATGCTTGTGTCCGGACGCATGCTTGTGTCCGGACGCATGCTTGTGTCCGGACGCATGCTTGTGTCCGGTCCCATGCTTGTGTCCGGACGCATGCTTGAGTCCGGTCGCATGCTTGTGTCCGGACGCATGCTTGTGTCCGGACGCATGCTTGGGTCCGGACGCATGCTTGTGTCCGGACGCATGCTTGCGTCCGGACGCATGCTTGTGTCCGGACGCATGCTTGTGTCCGGACGCATGCTTGTGTCCGGACGCATGCTTGTGTCCGGACGCATGCTTGTGTCCGGACGCATGCTTGTGCCCGGTCGCACGCTTGTGTCCGGACGCATGCTTGTGTCCGGACGCGTGCTTGTGCTTGGACGCATGCTTGTGTCCGGTCGCATGCTTGTGTCCGGACGCATGCTTGTGTCCGGACGCATGCTTGTGTCCGGACGCATGCTTGTGTCCGGTCGCATGCTTGTGTCCACGTCCATGTCCACGTCCATGTCCACGTCCACGTCCACGTCCACGTCCACGTCCACGTCCACGTCCATGTCCACGTCCATGTCCACGTCCACGTCCACGTCCACGTCCACGTCCACGTCCACGTCCACGTCCACGTCCATGTCCACGTCCACGTCCACGTCCACGTCCACGTCTACGTCCACGTCCATGTCCACGTCCACGTCCACGTCCATGTCCACGTCCACGTCCACGTCCACGTCCACGTCCACGTCCACATCCACGTCCATGTCCACGTCCACGTCCACGTCCACGTCCACGTCCACGTCCACGTCCATGTCCACGTCCACGTCCATGTCCACGTCCACGTCCAAGTCCACGTCCATGTCCACGTCCATGTCTACGTCCACCTCCACGTCCACGTCCACGTCCACGTCCACGTCCACGTCCACGTCCATGTCTACGTCCATGTCCACGTCCACGTCCATGTCCACGTCCACGTCCACGTCCACGTCCATGTCCACGTCCATGTCCACGTCCACGTCCACGTCCACGTCCACGTCCACGACGTCCATGTCCACGTCCACGTCCACGTCCACGTCCGTGTCCACGTCCGTGTCCACGTCCTCGTCCACGTCCATGTCCACGTCCACGTCCACGACCATGTCCACGTCCACGTCCATGTCCTCGTCCACGTCCATGTCCACGTCCACGTCCACGTCCATGTCCACGTCCACGTCCACGTCCACGTCCACGTCCACGTCCACGTCCTCGTCCACGTCCACGTCCATGTCCATGTCCACGTCCACGTCCACGTCCACGTCCACGTCCACGTCCATTTCTACGTCCACGTCCACGTCCACATCCACGTCCATGTCCACGTCCACGTCCACGTCCACGTCCACGTCCAAGTCCACGTCCATGTTCACGTCCATGTCTACGTCCACGTCCAGGTCCACGTCCACGTCTACGTCCACGTCCATGTCCACGTCCACGTCTACGTCCACGTCCACGTCTACGTCCACGTCCACGTCCATGTCCACGTCCACGTCCATGTCCACGTCCACGTCCACGTCCACGTCCACGTCCACGTCCACGTCCATTTCTACGTCCACGTCCACGTCCACATCCACGTCCATGTCTACGTCCACGTCCACGTCTACGTCTACGTCCACGTCCACGTCCACGTCCATGTCCACGTCCACGTCCACGTCCACGTCCACATCCACGTCCATGTCCACGTCCACGTCCACGTCCACGTCCACGTCCACGTCCACGTCCATGTCCACGTCCACGTCCATGTCCACGTCCACGTCCAAGTCCACGTCCATGTCCACGTCCATGTCTACGTCCACCTCCACGTCCACGTCCACGTCCATGTCCACGTCCATGTCCACGTCCACGTCCACGTCCACGTCTACGTCCATGTCCACGTCCATGTCCACGTCCACGTCCACGTCCACGTCCTCGTCCACGTCCACGTCCACGTCCACGTCCACGTCCACGTCCACGTCCACGTCCATGTCCACGTCCACGTCCATGTCCACGTCCACGTCCAAGTCCACGTCCATGTCCACGTCCATGTCTACGTCCACCTCCACGTCCACGTCCACGTCCACGTCCACGTCCACGTCCACGTCCATGTCTACGTCCATGTCCACGTCCACGTCCATGTCCACGTCCACGTCCACGTCCACATCCATGTCCACGTCCATGTCCACGTCCACGTCCACGTCCACGTCCACGTCCACGTCCACGACGTCCATGTCCACGTCCACGTCCACGTCCACGTCCACGTCCACGTCCATGTCCACGTCCACGTCCACGTCCACGTCCACGTCCATGTCCACGTCCGTGTCCACGTCCGTGTCCACGTCCTCGTCCACGTCCATGTCCACGTCCACGTCCACGACCATGTCCACGTCCACGTCCATGTCCACGTCCGTGTCCACGTCCATGTCCACGTCCACGTCCATGTCCACGTCCACGTCCACGTCCACGTCCACGTCCACGTCCTCGTCCACGTCCACGTCCATGTCCATGTCCACGTCCACGTCCACGTCCACGTCCACGTCCACGTCCATTTCTACGTCCACGTCCACGTCCACATCCACGTCCATGTCCACGTCCACGTCCACGTCCACGTCCACGTCCAAGTCCACGTCCATGTTCACGTCCATGTCTACGTCCACGTCCAGGTCCACGTCCACGTCTACGTCCACGTCCATGTCCACGTCCACGTCTACGTCCACGTCCACGTCTACGTCCACGTCCACGTCCATGTCCACGTCCACGTCCATGTCCACGTCCACGTCCACGTCCACGTCCACGTCCACGTCCATTTCTACGTCCACGTCCACGTCCACATCCACGTCCATGTCTACGTCCACGTCCACGTCTACGTCTACGTCCACGTCCACGTCCACGTCCATGTCCACGTCCACGTCCACGTCCACGTCCACGTCCACGTCCATGTCCACGTCCACGTCCACGTCCACGTCCACGTCCACGTCCACGTCCACGTCCATGTCCACGTCCACGTCCATGTCCACGTCCACGTCCAAGTCCACGTCCATGTCCACGTCCATGTCTACGTCCACCTCCACGTCCACGTCCACGTCCATGTCCACGTCCATGTCCACGTCCATGTCCACGTCCACGTCTACGTCCATGTCCACGTCCATGTCCACGTCCACGTCCACGTCCACGTCCTCGTCCACGTCCACGTCCACGTCCACGTCCACGTCCACGTCCACGTCCACGTCCATGTCCACGTCCACGTCCATGTCCACGTCCACGTCCAAGTCCACGTCCATGTCCACGTCCATGTCTACGTCCACCTCCACGTCCACGTCCACGTCCACGTCCACGTCCACGTCCACGTCCATGTCTACGTCCATGTCCACGTCCACGTCCATGTCCACGTCCACGTCCACGTCCACGTCCATGTCCACGTCCATGTCCACGTCCACGTCCACGTCCACGTCCACGTCCACGACGTCCATGTCCACGTCCACGTCCACGTCCACGTCCACGTCCACGTCCATGTCCACGTCCACGTCCACGTCCACGTCCACGTCCATGTCCACGTCCGTGTCCACGTCCGTGTCCACGTCCTCGTCCACGTCCATGTCCACGTCCACGTCCACGACCATGTCCACGTCCACGTCCATGTCCACGTCCGTGTCCACGTCCACGTCCGTGTCCACGTCCACGTCCACGTCCATGTCCACGTCCACGTCCACGTCCACGTCCACGTCCACGTCCTCGTCCACGTCCACGTCCATGTCCATGTCCACGTCCACGTCCACGTCCACGTCCACGTCCACGTCCATTTCTACGTCCACGTCCACGTCCACATCCACGTCCATGTCCACGTCCACGTCCACGTCCACGTCCACGTCCAAGTCCACGTCCATGTTCACGTCCATGTCTACGTCCACGTCCAGGTCCACGTCCACGTCTACGTCCACGTCCATGTCCACGTCCACGTCTACGTCCACGTCCACGTCTACGTCCACGTCCACGTCCATGTCCACGTCCACGTCCATGTCCACGTCCACGTCCACGTCCACGTCCACGTCCACGTCCACGTCCACGTCCACGTCCACATCCACGTCCATGTCTACGTCCACGTCCACGTCTACGTCTACGTCCACGTCCACGTCCACGTCCATGTCCACGTCCACGTCCACGTCCACGTCCACATCCACGTCCATGTCCACGTCCACGTCCACGTCCACGTCCACGTCCACGTCCACGTCCATGTCCACGTCCACGTCCATGTCCACGTCCACGTCCAAGTCCACGTCCATGTCCACGTCCATGTCTACGTCCACCTCCACGTCCACGTCCACGTCCATGTCCACGTCCATGTCCACGTCCATGTCCACGTCCACGTCCACGTCCACGTCCTCGTCCACGTCCACGTCCACGTCCACGTCCACGTCCATGTCCACGTCCACGTCCATGTCCACGTCCACGTCCAAGTCCACGTCCATGTCCACGTCCATGTCTACGTCCACCTCCACGTCCACGTCCACGTCCATGTCCACGTCCATGTCCACGTCCATGTCCACGTCCACGTCTACGTCCATGTCCACGTCCATGTCCACGTCCACGTCTACGTCCATGTCCACGTCCATGTCCACGTCCACGTCCACGTCCACGTCCATGTCCACGTCCACGTCCACGTCCACGTCCATGTCCACGTCCATGTCCACGTCCATGTCCACGTCCACGTCTACGTCCATGTCCACGTCCATGTCCACGTCCACGTCCACGTCCTCGTCCACGTCCACGTCCTCGTCCACGTCCACGTCCATGTCCACGTCCACGTCCACGTCCACGTCCATTTCTACGTCCACGTCCACGTCCATGTCCACGTCCACGTCCACGTCCACGTCCACGTCCACGTCCACGTCCACGTCCACATCCACGTCCACGTCCACGTCCACGTCCACGTCCACGTCCACGTCCACGTCCACGTCCACGTCCATGTCCACGTCCATGTCCACGTCCACGTCCACGTCCACGTCCACGTCCACGTCCACGTCCACGTCCACGTCCATGTCCACGTCCACGTCCATGTCTACGTCCACGTCCACGTCTACGTCTACGTCCACGTCCACGTCCACGTCCATGTCCACGTCCACGTCCACGTCCACGTCCACGTCCACGTCCACATCCACGTCCATGTCCACGTCCACGTCCACGTCCACGTCCACGTCCACGTCCACGTCCATGTCCACGTCCACGTCCATGTCCACGTCCACGTCCAAGTCCACGTCCATGTCCACGTCCATGTCTACGTCCACCTCCACGTCCACGTCCACGTCCACGTCCACGTCCACGTCCACGTCCACGTCCACGTCCATGTCTACGTCCATGTCCACGTCCACGTCCATGTCCACGTCCACGTCTACGTCCACGTCCATGTCCACGTCCATGTCCACGTCCACGTCCACGTCCACGTCCACGTCCACGTCCACGACGTCCATGTCCACGTCCACGTCCACGTCCACGTCCATGTCCACGTTCACGTCCACGTCCACGTCCATGTCCACGTCCGTGTCCACGTCCGTGTCCACGTCCTCGTCCGCGTCCATGTCCACGTCCACGTCCACGACCATGTCCACGTCCACGTCCATGTCCACGTCCGTGTCCACGTCCACGTCCATGTCCACGTCCACGTCCACGTCCATGTCCACGTCCACGTCCACGTCCACGTCCACGTCCACGTCCACGTCCACGTCCTCGTCCACGTCCACGTCCATGTCCATGTCCACGTCCACGTCCACGTCCACGTCCACGTCCATTTCTACGTCCACGTCCACGTCCACATCCACGTCCATGTCCACGTCCACGTCCACGTCCACGTCCAAGTCCACGTCCATGTTCACGTCCATGTCTACGTCCACGTCCAGGTCCACGTCCACGTCTACGTCCACGTCCATGTCCACGTCCACGTCTACGTCCACGTCCACGTCTACGTCCACGTCCATGTCCACGTCCACGTCCATGTCCACGTCCACGTCCACGTCCACGTCCACGTCCACGTCCATTTCTACGTCCACGTCCACGTCCACATCCACGTCCATGTCTACGTCCACGTCCACGTCTACGTCTACGTCCACGTCCACGTCCACGTCCATGTCCACGTCCACGTCCACGTCCACGTCCACGTCCATGTCAACGTCCACGTCCACGTCCACGTCCACGTCCACGTCCACGTCCACGTCCATGTCCACGTCCACGTCCATGTCCACGTCCACGTCCAAGTCCACGTCCATGTCCACGTCCATGTCTACGTCCACCTCCACGTCCACGTCCACGTCCACGTCCACGTCCACGTCCACGTCCATGTCTACGTCCATGTCCACGTCCACGTCCATGTCCACGTCCACGTCCACGTCCACGTCCATGTCCACGTCCATGTCCACGTCCACGTCCACGTCCACGTCCACGACGTCCATGTCCACGTCCACGTCCACGTCCACGTCCACGTCCATGTCCACGTCCACGTCCACGTCCACGTCCACGTCCATGTCCACGTCCGTGTCCACGTCCGTGTCCACGTCCTCGTCCACGTCCATGTCCACGTCCACGTCCACGACCATGTCCACGTCCACGTCCATGTCCACGTCCGTGTCCACGTCCACGTCCATGTCCACGTCCACGTCCACGTCCATGTCCACGTCCATGTCCACGTCCACGTCCACGTCCACGTCCACGTCCTCGTCCACGTCCACGTCCATGTCCATGTCCACGTCCACGTCCACGTCCACGTCCACGTCCACGTCCATTTCTACGTCCACGTCCACGTCCACATCCACGTCCATGTCCACGTCCACGTCCACGTCCACGTCCAAGTCCACGTCCATGTTCACGTCCATGTCTACGTCCACGTCCAGGTCCACGTCCACGTCTACGTCCACGTCCATGTCCACGTCTACGTCCACGTCCACGTCTACGTCCACGTCCACGTCCATGTCCACGTCCACGTCCATGTCCACGTCCACGTCCACGTCCACGTCCACGTCCACGTCCATTTCTACGTCCACGTCCACGTCCACATCCACGTCCATGTCCACGTCCACGTCCACGTCCACGTCCACGTCCAAGTCCACGTCCATGTTCACGTCCATGTCTACGTCCACGTCCAGGTCCACGTCCACGTCTACGTCCACGTCCATGTCCACGTCCACGTCTACGTCCACGTCCACGTCTACGTCCACGTCCACGTCCATGTCCACGTCCACGTCCATGTCCACGTCCATGTCCACGTCCATGTCCACGTCCACGTCTACGTCCACGTCCACGTCTACGTCCACGTCCACGTCCATGTCCACGTCCACGTCCATGTCCACGTCCATGTCCACGTCCATGTCCACGTCCACGTCCATGTCCACGTCCACGTCCATGTCCACGTCCACGTCCATGTCCACCTCCACGTCCATGTCCACGTCCATGTCCACGTCTACGTCCACGTCCACGTCCACGTCTACGTCCACGTCCACGTCCACGTCCATGTCCACGTCCATGTCCATGTCCACGTCCATGTCCACGTCCACGTCCACGTCCATGTCCACGTCCACGTCCATGTCCACGTCCATGTCCACGTCCACGTCCATGTCCACGTCCACGTCCACGTCCACGTCCACGTCCACGTCCACGTCCACGTCCTCGTCCACGTCCACGTCCACGTCCTCGTCCACGTCCACGTCCATGTCCAGGTCCAGGTCCACGTCCACGTCCACGTCCACGTCCATGTCCACGTCCACGTCCACGTCCATTTCTACGTCCACGTCCACGTCCACGTCCACGTCCATGTCCACATCCACGTCCACGGGGTTTAGGGTTTAGGGTTTAGAGTTTAGGTCCAGGACGTGGACGTGGACGTGGACATGGACGTGGACGTGGACGAGGACGTGGACGTGGACGTGGACGTGGACGAGGACGTGGACGTGGACGTGGACGTGGACATGGACGTGGACGTGGACGTGGACGTGGACGTGGACGTGGACGTGGACATGGACGTGGACATGGACGTGGACATGGACGTGGACGTGGACGTGGACGTGGACGTGGACGTGGACGTGGACGTGGACATGGACGTGGACGTGGACGTGGACGTGGACGTGGACGTGGACGTGGACGTGGACGTGGACGTTGACGTAGACATGGACGTGGATGTGGACGTGGACGTGGACGTGGACGTGGACGTGGACGTGGACATGGACGTGGACGTGGACGTGGACGTGGACGTGGACATGGACGTGGACATGGACGTAGACGTGGACGTGGACGTGGACGTGGACATGGACGTGGACATGGACGTGGACGTGGACGTCGACATGGACGTGGACGTAGAAATGGACGTGGACGTAGACGTGGACATGGACGTGGACATGGACGTGGACGTGGACGTGGACGTGGACGTGGAGGTGGACGTAGACATGGACGTGGACATGGACGTGGACTTGGACGTGGACGTGGACATGGACGTGGACGTGGACATGGACGTGGACGTGGACGTGGACGTGGACGTGGACGTGGACATAGACGTGGATGTGGACGTGGACGTGGACGTGGACGTGGACATGGACGTGGACGTGGACGTGGACGTAGACGTAGACGTGGACGTGGACGTAGACATGGACGTGGATGTGGACGTGGACGTGGACGTAGAAATGGACGTGGACGTGGACGTGGACGTGGACGTGGACGTGGACATGGACGTGGACGTGGACATGGACGTGGACGTGGACATGGACGTGGACGTGGACGTAGACGTGGACGTGGACGTAGACGTGGACGTGGACATGGACGTGGACGTAGACGTGGACGTGGACCTGGACGTGGACGTAGACATGGACGTGAACATGGACGTGGACTTGGACGTGGAAGTGGACGTGGACGTGGACGTGGACATGGACGTGGATGTGGACGTGGACGTGGACGTAGAAATGGACGTGGACGTGGACGTGGACGTGGACATGGACGTGGACGTGGACGTGGACGTGGACGTGGACATGGACGTGGACATGGACGTAGACGTGGACGTGGACGTGGACGTGGACATGGACGTGGACATGGACGTGGACGTGGACGTCGACATGGACGTGGACGTAGAAATGGACGTGGACGTAGACGTGGACATGGACGTGGACATGGACGTGGACGTGGACGTGGACGTGGACGTGGACGTGGAGGTGGACGTAGACATGGACGTGGACATGGACGTGGACTTGGACGTGGACGTGGACATGGACGTGGACGTGGACATGGACGTGGACGTGGACGTGGACGTGGACGTGGACGTGGACGTGGACGTGGACATGGACGTGGATGTGGACGTGGACGTGGACGTGGACGTGGACATGGACGTGGACGTGGACGTGGACGTAGACGTAGACGTGGACGTGGACGTAGACATGGACGTGGATGTGGACGTGGACGTGGACGTAGAAATGGACGTGGACGTGGACGTGGACGTGGACGTGGACGTGGACGTGGACATGGACGTGGACGTGGACATGGACGTGGACGTGGACGTAGACGTGGACGTGGACGTAGACGTGGACGTGGACATGGACGTGGACGTAGACGTGGACGTGGACCTGGACGTGGACGTAGACATGGACGTGAACATGGACGTGGACTTGGACGTGGAAGTGGACGTGGACGTGGACGTGGACATGGACGTGGATGTGGACGTGGACGTGGACGTAGAAATGGACGTGGACGTGGACGTGGACGTGGACGTGGACATGGACGTGGACGTGGACGAGGACGTGGACGTGGACGTGGACGTGGACGTGGACGTGGACATGGACGTGGACGTGGACGTGGACATGGACGTGGACGTGGACACGGACGTGGACATGGACGTGGACGTGGACATGGTCGTGGACGTGGACGTGGACATGGACGTGGACGAGGACGTGGACACGGATGTGGACGTGGACGTGGACGTAGAAATGGACGTGGACGTGGACGTGGACGTGGACGTGGACGTGGACATGGACATGGACGTGGACGTGGACGAGGACGTGGACGTGGACGTGGACGTGGACGTGGACGTGGACGTGGACATGGACGTGGACGTGGACGTGGACATGGACGTGGACGTGGACACGGACGTGGACATGGACGTGGACGTGGACATGGTCGTGGACGTGGACGTGGACATGGACGTGGACGAGGACGTGGACACGGACGTGGACACGGACGTGGACATGGACGTGGACGTGGACGTGGACGTGGACATGGACGTGGACGTGGACGTGGACGTGGACGTGGACGTGGACATGGACGTCGTGGACGTGGACGTGGACGTGGACGTGGACATGGACGTGGACATGGACGTGGACGTGGACGTGGACGTGGACATGGACGTGGACGTGGACATGGACGTAGACATGGACGTGGACGTGGACGTGGACGTGGACGTGGAAGTGGACGTAGACATGGACGTGGACATGGACGTGGACTTGGACGTGGACGTGGACATGGACGTGGACGTGGACATGGACGTGGACGTGGACGTGGACGTGGACGTGGACGTGGACGTGGACATGGACGTGGATGTGGACGTGGACGTGGACGTGGACGTGGACATGGACGTGGACGTGGACGTGGACGTAGACGTAGATGTGGACGTGGACGTAGACATGGACGTGGATGTGGACGTGGACGTGGACGTAGAAATGGACGTGGACGTGGACGTGGACGTGGACGTGGACATGGACGAGGACGTGGACATGGACGTGGACGTGGACGTAGACGTGGACGTGGACGTAGACGTGGACGTGGACATGGACGTGGACGTAGACATGGACGTGGACATGGACGTGGACATGGACATGGACGTGGACGTGGACGTGGACGTGGACGTGGACATGGACGTGGACGTGGACGTGGACGTGGACGTGGACGTGGACGTGGACGTGGACATGGACGTGGACATGGACGTAGACGTGGACGTGGACGTGGACGTGGACATGGACGTGGACATGGACGTGGACGTGGACGTGGACGTGGACATGGACGTGGACGTAGAAATGGACGTGGACGTAGACGTGGACATGGACGTGGACGTGGACGTGGAAGTGGACGTGGACATGGACGTGGACATGGACATGGACGTGGACGTGGACGTGGACGTGGACGTGGACGTGGACGTGGACGTGGACGTGGACTTGGACGTGGACCTGGACGTGGACTTGGACGTGGACGTGGACATGGACGTGGACTTGGACGTGGACGTGGACGTGGACATGGACGTGGACGTGGACGTGGACGTGGACGTGGACGTAGAAATGGACGTGGACGTGGACGTGGATATGGACGTGGACGTGGACGTGGACGTGGACCTGGACATGGACGTGGACGTGGACGAGGACGTGGACGTGGACGTGGACGTGGACATGGACATGGACGTGGACGTGGACGTGGACGTGGACGTGGACATGGACGTGGAAGTGGACGTGGACATGGACGTGGACATGGACGTGGACGTGGACGTTGACATGGACGTGGACACATGGACGTGGACATGGACGTGGACGTGGACGTGGACGTAGACGTGGACGTGGACGTGGACATGGACGTGGACATGGACATGGACGTGGACGTGGACGTGGACGTGGACGTGGACATGGACGTGGACGTGGACGTAGACGTGGACATGGACGTGGACGTGGACGTGGACGTGGACATGGACGTGGACATGGACGTAGACGTGGACGTGGACGTGGACGTGGACATGGACGTGGACATGGACGTGGACGTGGACGTGGACGTGGACGTGGACATGGACGTGGACGTAGAAATGGACGTGGACGTAGACGTGGACATGGACGTGGACGTAGACGTGGACGTGGACGTGGAAGTGGACGTGGACATGGACGTGGACATGGACATGGACGTGGACGTGGACGTGGACGTGGACGTGGACGTGGACGTGTACTTGGACGTGGACGTGGACGTGGACGTGGACGTGGACGTGGACATGGACGTGGACTTGGACGTGGACGTGGACGTGACGTGGACGTGGACATGGACGTGGACGTGGACGTGGACGTGGACATGGACGTGGACATGGACATGGACGTGGACGTGGACGTGGACGTGGACGTGGACATGGACGTGGACGTGGACGTGGACGTGGACATGGACGTGGACGTGGACGTGGACGTGGACGTGGACATGGACGTGGACATGGACGTAGACGTGGACGTGGACGTGGACGTGGACATGGACGTGGACATGGACGTGGACGTGGACGTGGACGTGGACATGGACGTGGACGTAGAAATGGACGTGGACGTAGACGTGGACATGGACGTGGACGTAGACGTGGACGTGGACGTGGAAGTGGACGTGGACATGGACGTGGACATGGACATGGACGTGGACGTGGACGTGGACGTGGACGTGGACGTGGACGTGGACGTGGACTTGGACGTGGACGTGGACGTGGACGTGGACGTGGACGTGGACATGGACGTGGACTTGGACGTGGACGTGACGTGGACGTGGACATGGACGTGGACGTGGACGTGGACGTGGACGTGGACGTAGAAATGGACGTGGACGTGGACGTGGATATGGACGTGGACGTGGACGTGGACATGGACCTGGACATGGACGTGGACGAGGACGTGGACGTGGACGTGGAGGTGGACGTGGACGTGGACATGGACGTGGACGTGGACGTGGACGTGGACGTGGACATGGACGTGGAAGTGGACGTGGACATGGACGTGGACGTGGACATGGACGTGGACGTGGACATGGACGTGGACGTGGACGTTGACATGGACGTGGACACATGGACGTGGACATGGACGTGGACGTAGACGTGGACGTAGACGTGGACGTGGACGTGGACGTGGACGTGGACATGGACGTGGACTTGGACGTGGACATGGACGTGGACGTGGACATGGACGTGGACGTGGACATGGACGTGGACGTAGACGTGGACGTGGACGTGGACGTGGACGTGGACGTGGACGTGGACGTGGACGTGGACGTGGACATGGACGTGGACATGGACATGGACGTGGACATGGACGTGGACGTGGACGTGGACGTGGACGTGGACGTGGACGTGGACGTGGACGTGGACATGGACGTGGACGTGGACGTGGACGTGGACGTAGACGTAGACGTGGACGTGGACGTAGACATGGACGTGGACGTGGACATGGACGTGGACGTGGACGTGGACGTGGACGTGGACGTGGACGTCGACGTCAACGTGGACATGGACGTGGACATGGACGTGGACGTGGACGTGGACGTGGACGTGGACGTGGACGTGGACGTGGACGTGGACGTGGACATGGACGTGGACGTGGACGTGGACGTGGACGTGGACGTCGACGTGGACGTAGAAATGGACGTGGACGTGGACGTGGACATGGACGTGGACGTGGACGTGGACATGGACGTGGACGTGGACGTGGACGTGGACGAGGACGTGGACGTGGACGTAGACGTGGCCGTGGACGTGGACATGGACGTGGACGTGGACGTGGACGTGGACGTAGACGTGGACGTAGACGTGGACGTGGACGTGGACGTGGACGTAGACGTGGACGTGGACGTAGACATGGACGTGGACGTGGACATGGACGTGGACGTGGACGTGAACGTGGACGTGGACGTGGACGTGGACGTGGACATGGACGTGGACATGGACGTGGACGTGGACGTGGACGTGGACGTGGACGTGGACGTGGACATGGACGTGGACGTGGACGTGGACGTGGACGTGGACGTGGACGTGGACGTGGACGTAGAAATGGACGTGGACGTGGACGTGGACATGGACGTGGACGTGGACGAGGACATGGACGTGGACGTGGACGTGGACGTGGACGTGGACGAGGACGTGGACGTGGACGTGGACGTGGACGTGGACGTGGCCGTGGACCTGGACATGGACGTGGACGTGGACGTGGATGTGGACGTGGACGTGGACGTGGACATGGACGTGGACGTGGACGTAGAAATGGACGTGGACATGGACGTTGACGTGGACATGGACGTGGACATGGACATGGACGTGGACGTGGACGTGGACGTGGACATGGACGTGGACGTGGACGTGGACGTGGACATGGACGTGGACGTGGACATGGACGTGGACATGGACGTGGACATGGACGTGGACATGGACGTGGAAGTGGACATGGACGTGGACATGGACGTGGACATGGACGTGGACATGGACATGGACGTGGACATGGACGTGGACATGGACGTGGACGTGGACGTGGACATGGACGTGGACATGGACGTGGACATGGACGTGGACATGGACATGGACGTGGACATGGACGTGGAAGTGGACGAGGACGAGGACGAGGACGTGGACGTGGACATGGACGTGGACATGGACATGGACGTGGACGTGGACATGGACATGGACGTGGACATGGACATGGACGTGGACATGGACATGGACGTGGACATGGACATGGACGTGGACATGGACATGGACGTGGACGTGGACGAGGACGTGGACGTGGACGTGGACGTGGACGTGGCCGTGGACGTGGACATGGACGTGGACGTGGACGTGGATGTGGACGTGGACGTGGACGTGGACATGGACGTGGACGTGGACGTAGAAATGGACGTGGACATGGACGTTGACGTGGACATGGACGTGGACATGGACAAGGACGTGGACGTGGACGTGGACGTGGACATGGACGTGGACGTGGACGTGGACGTGGACATGGACGTGGACGTGGACGTGGACGTGGACATGGACGTGGACATGGACGTGGACATGGACGTGGAAGTGGACATGGACGTGGACATGGACGTGGACATGGACGTGGACATGGACATGGACGTGGACATGGACGTGGACATGGACGTGGACGTGGACGTGGACATGGACGTGGACATGGACGTGGACATGGACGTGGACATGGACATGGACGTGGACATGGACGTGGAAGTGGACGTGGACATGGACGTGGACATGGACATAGACGTGGACGTGGACGTGGACGTGGACGTGGACGTGGACGTGGACTTGGACGTGGACGTGGACGTGGACGTGGACGTGGACGTGGACTTGGACGTGGACGTGGACGTGGACGTGGACGTGGACGTGGACATGGACGTGGACTTGGACGTGGACGTGGACGTGACGTGGACGTGGACATGGACGTGGACGTGGACGTGGACGTGGACGTAGAAATGGACGTGGACGTGGACGTGGATATGGACGTGGACGTGGACGTGGACATGGACCTGGACATGGACGTGGACGTGGACGAGGACGTGGACGTGGACGTGGACGTGGACGTGGACGTGGACATGGACGTGGACGTGGACGTGGACGTGGACATGGACGTGGAAGTGGACGTGGACATGGACGTGGACGTGGACATGGACGTGGACGTGGACATGGACGTGGACGTGGACGTTGACATGGACGTGGACACATGGACGTGGACATGGACGTGGACGTAGACGTGGACGTAGACGTGGACGTGGACGTGGACGTGGACATGGACGTGGACATGGACGTGGACATGGACGTGGACGTGGACATGGACGTGGACGTGGACATGGACGTGGACGTAGACGTGGACGTGGACGTGGACGTGGACGTGGACGTGGACGTGGACGTGGACGTGGACGTGGACGTGGACATGGACGTGGACATGGACATGGACGTGGACATGGACGTGGACGTGGACGTGGACGTGGACGTGGACGTGGACGTGGACGTGGACATGGACGTGGACGTGGACGTGGACGTGGACGTAGACGTAGACGTGGACGTGGACGTAGACATGGACGTGGACGTGGACATGGACGTGGACGTGGACGTGGACGTGGACGTGGACGTGGACGTCGACGTGGACATGGACGTGGACATGGACGTGGACGTGGACGTGGACGTGGACGTGGACGTGGACGTGGACGTGGACGTGGACATGGACGTGGACGTGGACGTGGACGTGGACGTGGACGTGGACGTGGACGTGGACGTAGAAATGGACGTGGACGTGGACGTGGACATGGACGTGGACGTGGACGTGGACATGGACGTGGACGTGGACGTGGACGAGGACGTGGACGTGGACGTGGACGTGGCCGTGGACGTGGACATGGACGTGGACGTGGACGTGGACGTGGACGTAGACGTGGACGTAGACGTGGACGTGGACGTGGACGTGGACGTAGACGTGGACGTGGACGTAGACATGGACGTGGACGTGGACATGGACGTGGACGTGGACGTGAACGTGGACGTGGACGTGGACGTGGACGTGGACGTGGACATGGACGTGGACATGGACGTGGACGTGGACGTGGACGTGGACGTGGACGTGGACGTGGACGTGGACGTGGACATGGACGTGGACGTGGACGTGGACGTGGACGTGGACGTGGACGTGGACGTGGACGTGGACGTGGACGTAGAAATGGACGTGGACGTGGACGTGGACATGGACGTGGACGTGGACGAGGACATGGACGTGGACGTGGACGTGGACGTGGACGTGGACGAGGACGTGGACGTGGACGTGGACGTGGACGTGGCCGTGGACGTGGACATGGACGTGGACGTGGACGTGGATGTGGACGTGGACGTGGACGTGGACATGGACGTGGACGTGGACGTAGAAATGGACGTGGACATGGACGTTGACGTGGACATGGACGTGGACATGGACATGGACGTGGACGTGGACGTGGACGTGGACATGGACGTGGACGTGGACGTGGACGTGGACATGGACGTGGACGTGGACGTGGACGTGGACATGGACGTGGACATGGACGTGGACATGGACGTGGAAGTGGACATGGACGTGGACATGGACGTGGACATGGACGTGGACATGGACATGGACGTGGACATGGACGTGGACATGGACGTGGACGTGGACGTGGACATGGACGTGGACATGGACGTGGACATGGACGTGGACATGGACATGGACGTGGACATGGACGTGGAAGTGGACGTGGACATGGACGTGGACATGGACATAGACGTGGACGTGGACGTGGACGTGGACGTGGACGTGGACTTGGACGTGGACGTGGACGTGGACGTGGACGTGGACGTGGACATGGACGTGGACTTGGACGTGGACGTGGACGTGGACGTGGACGTGGACATGGACGTGGACGTGGACGTGGACGTGGACGTAGAAATGGACGTGGACGTGGACGTGGATATGGACGTGGACGTGGACGTGGACCTGGACATGGACGTGGACGTGGACGAGGACGTGGACGTGGACGTGGACGTGGACGTGGACATGGACGTGGACGTGGACGTGGACGTGGACGTGGACATGGACGTGGAAGTGGACGTGGACATGGACGTGGACGTGGACATGGACGTGGACGTGGACATGGACGTGGACGTGGACGTTGACATGGACGTGGACACATGGACGTGGACATGGACGTGGACGTGGACGTGGACGTAGTGGACGTGGACGTGGACGTGGACGTGGACATGGACGTGGACATGGACGTGGACATGGACGTGGACGTGGACGTGCACATGGCCATGGACGTGGACGTGGACATGGACGTTAACGTAGACGTGGACGTGGACGTGGACGTGGACGTGGACGTGGACGTGGACGTGGACGTGGACATGGACGTGGACATAGACATGGACGTGGACATGGACGTGGACGTGGACGTGGACGTGGACGTGGACGTGGACGTGGACGTGGACATGGACGTGGACGTGGACGTGGATGTGGACGTGGACGTAGACGTAGACGTGGACGTGGACGTAGACATGGACGTGGACGTGGACATGGACGTGGACGTGGACGTGGACGTGGACGTGGACGTCGACGTCGACGTGGACATGGACGTGGACATGGACGTGGACGTGGACGTGGACGTGGACGTGGACGAGGACGTGGACTTTGACGTGGACGTGGACGTGGACGTGGACGTGGACGTGGACATGGACGTGGACGTGGACGTGGACGTGGACGTGAACGTGGACGTGGACGTGGACGTGGACGTGGACGTGGACATGGACGTGGACATGGACGTGGACGTGGACGTGGACGTGGACGTGGACGTGGACGTGGACGTGGACGTGGACATGGACGTGGACGTGGACATGGACGTGGACGTGGACGTGAACGTGGACGTGGACGTGGACGTGGACGTGGACGTGGACGTGGACGTGGACGTGGACGTGGACATGGACGTGGACGTGGACATGGACGTGGACGTGGACGTGAACGTGGACGTGGACGTGGACGTGGACGTGGACGTGGACATGGACGTGGACATGGACGTGGACGTGGACGTGGACGTGGACGTGGACGTGGACGTGGACGTGGACGTGGACATGGACGTGGACGTGGACGTGGACGTGGACGTGGACGTGGACGTGGACGTGGACGTGGACGTAGAAATGGACGTGGACGTGGACGTGGACATGGACGTGGACGTGGACGAGGACATGGACGTGGACGTGGACGTGGACGTGGACGTGGAGGACGAGGACGTGGACGTGGACGTGGACGTGGCCGTGGACGTGGACATGGACGTGGACGTGGACGTGGATGTGGACGTGGACGTGGACGTGGACATGGACGTGGACGTGGACGTAGAAATGGACGTGGACATGGACGTTGACGTGGACATGGACGTGGACATGGACATGGACGTGGACGTGGACGTGGACGTGGACATGGACGTGGACGTGGACGTGGACGTGGACATGGACGTGGACGTGGACGTGGACGTGGACATGGACGTGGACATGGACGTGGACATGGACGTGGAAGTGGACATGGACGTGGACATGGACGTGGACATGGACGTGGACATGGACATGGACGTGGACATGGACGTGGACATGGACGTGGACGTGGACGTGGACATGGACGTGGACATGGACGTGGACATGGACGTGGACATGGACATGGACGTGGACATGGACGTGGAAGTGGACGTGGACATGGACGTGGACATGGACATAGACGTGGACGTGGACGTGGACGTGGACGTGGACGTGGACTTGGACGTGGACGTGGACGTGGACGTGGACGTGGACGTGGACATGGACGTGGACTTGGACGTGGACGTGGACGTGGACGTGGACGTGGACATGGACGTGGACGTGGACGTGGACGTGGACGTAGAAATGGACGTGGACGTGGACGTGGATATGGACGTGGACGTGGACGTGGACCTGGACATGGACGTGGACGTGGACGAGGACGTGGACGTGGACGTGGACGTGGACGTGGACATGGACGTGGACGTGGACGTGGACGTGGACGTGGACATGGACGTGGAAGTGGACGTGGACATGGACGTGGACGTGGACATGGACGTGGACGTGGACATGGACGTGGACGTGGACGTTGACATGGACGTGGACACATGGACGTGGACATGGACGTGGACGTGGACGTGGACGTAGACGTGGACGTGGACGTGGACGTGGACGTGGACATGGACGTGGACATGGACGTGGACATGGACGTGGACGTGGACATGGACGTGGACGTGGACATGGACGTTAACGTAGACGTGGACGTGGACGTGGACGTGGACGTGGACGTGGACGTGGACGTGGACGTGGACATGGACGTGGACATAGACATGGACGTGGACATGGACGTGGACGTGGACGTGGACGTGGACGTGGACGTGGACGTGGACGTGGACATGGACGTGGACGTGGACGTGGATGTGGACGTGGACGTAGACGTAGACGTGGACGTGGACGTAGACATGGACGTGGACGTGGACATGGACGTGGACGTGGACGTGGACGTGGACGTGGACGTCGACGTCGACGTGGACATGGACGTGGACATGGACGTGGACGTGGACGTGGACGTGGACGAGGACGTGGACTTTGACGTGGACGTGGACGTGGACGTGGACGTGGACGTGGACATGGACGTGGACGTGGACGTGGACGTGGACGTGGACGTGGACGTAGAAATGGACGTGGACGTGGACGTGGACATGGACGTGGACGTGGACATGGACGTGGACGTGGACGTGGACGTGGACGTGGACGAGGACGTGGACGTTGACGTGGACGTGGACGTGGCCGTGGACGTGGACATGGACGTGGACGTGGACGTGGACGTGGACGTAGACGTGGACGTAGACGTGGACGTGGACGTGGACGTGGACGTAGACGTAGACGTGGACGTGGACGTAGACATGGACGTGGACGTGGACATGGACGTGGACGTGGACGTGGACGTGGACGTGGACGTGGACGTGGACGTGGACATGGACGTGGACGTGGACGTGGACGTGGACGTGGACGTGGACGTGGACGTGGACGTGGACGTGGACGTAGAAATGGACGTGGACGTGGACGTGGACATGGACGTGGACGTGGACGTGGACGTGGACGTGGACGTGGACGTGGACGAGGACGTGGACGTGGACGTGGACGTGGCCGTGGACGTGGACATGGACGTGGACGTGGACGTGGACGTGGACGTGGACGTGGACATGGACGTGGACGTGGACGTAGAAATGGACGTGGACGTAGACGTGGACATGGACATGGACGTAGACGTGGACGTGGACATGGACGTTGACGTGGACATGGACGTGGACATGGACATGGACGTGGACGTGGACGTGGACGTGGACATGGACGTGGACGTGGACGTGGCCGTGGACATGGACGTGGACGTGGACGTGGACGTGGACGTGGACGTGGACATGGACGTGGACGTGGACGAGGACGTGGACGTGGACGTGGACGTGGACGTGGACGTGGACGTGGACGTGGACGTGGACGTGGACGTGGACGTGGACATGGACGTGGACTTGGACGTGGACGTGGACGCGGACGTGGACGCGGACGTGGACGTAGACGTAGACGTGGACGTGGACGTGGACGTGGACGTGGACATGGACGTGGATGTGGACGTGGACGTGGACGTGGACGTGGACGTGGACGTGGACGTGGACGTGGACATGGACGTGGACGTGGACGTGGACGTAGACATGGACGTGGACGTGGACGTGGACGTGGACGTGGACATGGACGTGGACTTGGACGTGGACGCGGACGTGGACGTAGACGTGGACTTGGACATGGACGTGGACGTGGACATGGACGTGGACGTGGACATGGACATGGACGTGGACATGGACATGGACGTGGACATGGACGTGGACGTGGACGTGGACGTGGACGTGGACATGGACATGGACGTGGACATGGATGTGGACGTGGACGTGGACATGGACGTGGACGTGGACATGGACCTGGACGTGGACGTGGACGTGGACGTGGACGTGGACGTGGACATGTACGTGGATGTGGACGTAGAGATGGACGTGGTTGTGGACGTGGACATGGACGTGGACGTAGACATGGACGTAGACGTGGACGTAGACGTGGACGTGGACATGGACGTGGACGTGGACATGGACGAGGACGTGGACGTGGACGTGGACATGGACGTGGACGTGGACGTAGACGTGGACATGGACATGGACGTGGACGTGGACGTGGACGTGGACGTAGACGTGGACGTGGACGTGGACGTGGACGTAGAAATGGACGTGGACATGGACGTGGACTTGGACGTGGACGTGGACATGGACGTGGACGTGGACATGGACGTAGACGTGGACGTGGACGTGGACATGGACGTGGACGTGGACGTGGACGTGGACGTGGACGTGGACGTGGACATGGACGTGGACGTGGACGTGGACGTGGACGTGGACGTGGACATGGACGTGGACGTGGACGTGGACGTGGACGTGGACGTGGACGTGGACGTGGACATGGACGTGGACGTGGACGTGGACGTGGACGTGGACGTGGACGTGGACGTAGACGTGGACGTGGACGTGGACGTGGACGTAGACATGGACGTGGACATGGACGTGGACTTGGACGTGGACGTGGACATGGACGTGGACGTGGACATGGACGTAGACGTGGACGTGGACGTGGACAGGGACGTGGACGTGGACGTGGACGTGGACGTGGACGTAGACGTGGACGTGGACGTGGACGTAGACGTGGACGTGGACGTGGACGTGGACCTGGACGTGGACGTGGACATGGACGTGGACGTGGACATGGACGTGGACATGGACGTGGACCTGGACGTGGACGTGGACATGGACGTGGACGTGGACGTGGACGTGGACGTGGACATGGACGTGGACGTGGACATGGACGTGGACGTGGACATGGACGTGGACGTGGACGTGGACATGGACGTGGACGTGGACGTGGACGTGGACGTGGACGTGGACATGAACGTGGACATTGGACGTGGACGTGGACGTGGACGTGGACGTGAACGTGGACGTGGACGTGGACGTGGACGTGGACGTGGCCGTGGACGTGGACGTGGACGTGGACGTGGACGTGGACTTGGACGTGGACGTGGACATGGACGTGGACGTGGACATGGACGTGGACGTGGACGTGGACGTGGACCGTGGACGTGGACGTGGACGTGGACGTGGACTTGGACGTGGACGTGGACGTGGACGTGGACATGGACGTGGACGTGGACATGGACGTGGACGTGGACATTGGACGTGGACGTGGACGTGGTGGACGTGAACGTGGACGTGGACGTGGACGTGGACGTGAACGTGGACGTGAACGTGGACGTGGACGTGGACGTGGACGTGGACGTGGACGTGGACATGGACGTGGACGTGGACGTGGACGTGGACGTGGACGTAGACGTGGACGTGGACGTGGACGTGGACTTGGACGTGGACGTGGACGTGGACGTGGACATGGACGTGGACGTGGACATGGACGTGGACATGGACGTGGACGTGGACGTGGACGAGGACATGGACATGGACGTGGACGTGGACATTGGACGTGGACGTGGACGTGGACGTGGACATTGGACGTGGACGTGGACGTGGACGTAGACGTGGACGTGGACGTGGACGTGGAGTGTGGACGTGGACGTGGACGTGGACGTGGACGTGGACGTGGACGTGGACGTGGACTTGGACTTGGACGTGGACGTGGACATGGACGTGGACGTGGACATGGACGTGGACGTGGACGTGGACGTGGACATGGACGTGGACGTGGACATGGACGTGGACGTGGACATTGGACGTGGACGTGGACGTGGACGTGGACGTGAACGTGGACGTGAACGTGGACGTGGACGTGGACGTGGACGTAGACGTGGACGTGGACGTGGACGTGGACGTGGACGTGGACGTGGACAGGGACGTGCACATGGACGTGGACATGGACGTGGACGTGGACGTGGACATGGACGTGGACGTGGACGTGGACATGGACGTCGACATGGACGTGGACGTGGACGTGGACGTGGACGTGGACGTGGACGTGGAGGTAGACGTGGACGTGGACGTGGACGTGGACGTGGACATGGACGTGGACATGGACGTGGACATGGACGTGGACATGGACGTGGACGTGGACGTGGACGTGGACGTGGACTTGGACGTGGACGTGGACGGGGACGTGGACGTGGACGTGGACGTGGACGTGGACATGGACGTGGACATGGACGTGGACGTGGACGTGGACGTGGACGTGGACGTGGACTTGGACGTGGACTTGGACGTGGACGTGGACATGGACGTGGACGTGGACGTGGACATGGACGTGGACGTGGACGTAGACGTGGACGTGGACGTGGACGTGGACTTGGACGTGGACTTGGACGTGGACGTGGACATGGACGTGGACGTGGACGTGGACATGGACGTGGACATGGACGTGGACATGGACGTGGACGTGGACGTGGACGTGGACATGGACGTGCACATGGACGTGGACGTGGACATGGACGTAGACATGGACGTGGGCATGGACGTGGACATGGACGTGGACGTGGACGTAGACGTGGACGTGGACGTGGACGTAGACGTGGACGTGGACGTGGACGTGGACGTGGACGTAGAAATAGACGTGGACGTAGATGTGCACATGGACATGGACGTAGACGTGGACGTGGACGTGGACGTGGACGTGGACATGGACGTGGACATGGACATGGACGTGGACGTGGACGTGGACGTGGACGTGGACATGGACGTGGACGTGGACGTGGACGTGGACGTGGACATGGACGTAGACGTGGACATGGACATGGACGTAGACGTGGACGTGGACGTGGACGTGGACGAGGACATGGACATGGACATGGACGTGGACGTGGACGTGGACGTGGACGTGGACATGGACGTGGACGTGGACGTAGAAATGGACGTGGACGTAGACGTGGACATGGACATGGACGTAGACGTGGACGTGGACGTGGACATGGACGTGGACGTGGACGTGGACATAGACGTGGACATGGACATGGACGTGGACGTGGACGTGGACGTGGACGTGGACGTAGACGTGGACGTGAACGTGGACGTGGACGTAGACATGGACGTGGACATGGACGTGGACTTGGACGT